AAGAAAAAAAAAAAAAAAAAAAAAAAAAAAAAAAAAAAAAAAAACAAAAGAAACTGGAAGACGGCAGCCACGCATCCCTACATATCATCACCTTTTAATATGTGGGTCCTTTTATTATATTAATTCATTTAAAAATTATCCCAATAAAAAAAGGTCATATTCAGTAGGAGTTCTATAAAATTAATTTTTTGTATTCATTTATAAATGATTTCTTATTATAACTAAATTATAGCTTAGTTTGTAAATTAAATTTCCGATAGTTATTTTTCATTTACATTATCTTAATTTTTTAATATATATCTCACTTAGGAAAACAAATAATTGAATTTTTTGGTTTTTCGTATTTTCAACAACAACAATAAATATTTCAACCACGAAAATAAAAGTTTAATTTTCTTAATTTTTTTTTATTATTTTACTGTGGAACAACTTTAAGTTAGAGTCTCCATATACAATCCTAAATATAAGGATTTTTTTTAGAAACTTTAGGTATAGTCTCTATTTTAGAGACTCTGCAGAACCTCCATTGGTGTTGAATGTTTTACCAAAGTTCCTAAAATATAGAGACTCGACTCGAGTTTTAGGGACTCCGTTAAAAATGCCCTTACGGTCCTAAATGGAGGTCTATACATTTTTCCATCAAAAGTGGAAGTTCTAATCTATTCCTAGTCTTAGTCCAACGTACCAAACGTCGCATGATTATATTGTCGATCACCCCTAATCAATTGAACGAAAAAGGAATAACGATAATAAAACTCTATGATCATATTTTATAGCTAAATAACTATAGAGGAGATTGGAGCTCAACTTTAGAAATACTCTTTACATTCTACAGTACCTGTATTTTTCAAAAATTTATTATGTTTCATATTATACATCGCTTTAAATTTTAAAATTACAATGTTGCGTTAATTACATATTTTTCAATTATACCTTTATTAATTTTCCAACATTTTTTCTGCATTAATTAATAAACAAGAGTTTTTTGGTCAATCAATATTTATTTCCCTAAAATAAATACATATTTATTGAGATTTTTAAGAATTGTACCAAGATGAAACGACACATATTTAAGAACGGATGGAGTATTAACTAAATAATTAGAATCCTATTCTTAAAAAAAAAGTAAATATTTATATATAAAATAAATTATTAAAAATCGCAACAAAGGTCTACAGTTGAGCTTCAATCGAACTGAATCGATTCTACGGAAACTCTTAAAAGGAAAAAAAGCAACAACTCTTAAACCAGTTCCGCAAGGGATGACCTAGCGGTCTGAACATGTGTCAACTGACCAAGTTCGATCCCCCTTACCAATGATTGTTAAGTCGAGATTGTCACACATGATTAGGCTAGCTAGTGTAGTTCACATCTCTCGTTTATCCAGTTCACCTATATAATGTGTTGCCGGTTACTTCATTATTAAAAAAAAAAAAAATCACTCTTAAACCATTAGTGGACATAAAACTTTGACTTGTCACATTGTATATTAATTCAATTGTTGACTTTCATGAAAAATATAACTATATAATAATAACTATCAGTTGTGAATATTGATCACAAAAGATGAGAAATCTCATTAGGCATGCTGCCATCCAAATCTTGATTATAAGCTTCATTATGTTGAGTTTGAATTCCTGGTGTCTTTTTACAGAAGCAAGAAATCCCGAGTTCACGATTCGAGGTGCGGTTTTTTTTAGCTAGTTCCGACATTGAATTTTAGTTTATATTTTTATATATATCATTATAATTTCAGTTTACCTTCATATAATTTGAAAATGTTGTTTGACAGATGTTGGTTACGTAGTCCACCGGCGTGTAGCCAAGGAAGGTCCAGATGGGGGTTCGTCGTATCCTGCTCCGAAAGCCAATCCAAACGATCACGTGCATCATTAATTAGAATTTACATATTGTATGTATTATTTCGTTTATTATATTTCTATGTGAAATACAATTTGAATAGAATAAAAAGTTGAGATGTAAAATTAGTGTTGAAAAATTCAATATAAATGGGATCGTTTGTAATTTTGATATTTACAAAATAATGATAAATTTGTTTAATATTCGTGGTTAGTACATGTGGTTGGAATCGGCTCGGAACTATATGAACAAAGAATGATACGATACATTTGTATTTTTCGAGCATCGAATTTTTTCCTTTGTATATATATCCTTTACTTCTTCTGCTGCAATTTATTTATGTTGTATAGTTTCAACCACTGATCCTAGACTATTGATTTTTTTTTTTCGATTTTCACTCGTATAAAAAGATGTATATAAAGAATATAAAATCGCAACTAATTTTTCAGCTACACGAGCAACGTCTTCCTTGAGAAGCAGCACTGTCTCGTCTCCCCGCTGAAGGTCCTTCCTTTCCCCCATATCGAACTTTGATTCCGGTAGTCTACCGATGAAACAACAAGACTCACATTTTAGCACCATTGTATATATGCACAAAATAAACAGCCGAATTTCGATCGAATAAAAAGAAGAAGAAAAAGGTCAAAAAAATAGCATAAATCAAAACCTACCTCACTCGATAAGTCGAAAGTTCCATCCTGAATTTTGTTGTAGATTGTTGCGGCCGCCTTTATAAATGCCTGAAAACGTAAAATACCAGAATCAGCTAAAAAAAACAAAAAAACAAAAAACCGAATATTATAATAATTATTATTATTAATATTGAATTTTGAATGAAGAAACGAAATAATATCTTACGTGGTTGACATTTTGAGCTGTTTTAGCAGAAGCCTCCATGAATATCAATCCATTCTCCTTTGCAAATTGCTCCCCTTCCTCGATGCTCACCGCTCTTCTTTGAAAAAGATCGCACTTATTTCCGATCAAAATTACGGTCGAGTTTGCATTTCCGTTTTTTCTTACATCTTCCAACCAACCTGCCAGGTGGTTGAACGTTTCTCTCCTGAAGAAATAAAAAGGCCCGTTCAGCATTCGGTTTGACAAGATTTCTACTTATTCAAACTCGATACAAAAGTTATTATAATCTGCAATTAAATGCTACTATTTCATTCAATTAATAACACCCCCTGCTTTTGAGATTAATTTTGTTGAGGGCGATGAATATAGGGAGAAAAATATATTTTATCATTGAAAACATAATACCAGAATGTAACATATTTAATAATAGGGTAAACTACAATCACTCACTGAGGTATGGTTAATTTACGAAAAAAACCCTCTTGTTTGGATAATTACATCTATCCCTCAACTATGATTTTTTCTTACACCTCCACACTTATGGTGTCAAATTCAACATAGTCATCTAGATTTTGTGGAATGTGCTCTAGTTTGTACTCGTTTTGTGTAAAAATACAGTTTATGATGCACCACAATCTGATATATACAAGTCAAAATACACACATTATGATCATCATGCTTCAAAATGGGAGTTCGAATGGGATAAAATAGGTGTACAAAAGTGATAATATTCCATATAATCTCAAAGATTTCACTAAATTTAAAACCACAAGAGTAGACGTGTAAGAACATTATTAGTTGAGGAGGTGATTG